CTGGCAGTGATGTCTTACGATCGGTATTTAGCAATATGCAATCCACTCCGTTATGCCGTTATTATGAATGGCAGGGGTTGCACCCAGCTAGCAGCTTATTCCTGGACAGGTGGCTTACTGAGCACCACCATAGTAATCATTTTAATGTCTAAGCTGCAGTTTTGTACCTCCAATGAAATCGACCATTTCTTTTGTGATTTCTCACCCATAGTGAAACTCTCTTGTAATGACACTGGACTTCTAGAACTGGTGATTTTCACACAGTCTTCAATTGCCTCACTGATCCCATTTTTGCTAACCCTCACGTCCTATGCTTCCATCATAAGTACCATCCTGAGAATCCCTTCCACAACTGGAAGGCAAAAGGCATTTTCTACTTGTTCCTCTCACCTTGTCATTGTTACAACCTTTTATGGGACTCTGTTCCTTGTTTATGTGGTTCCAAAAACCTACCTTTCAAAGAGCTTACGAAAAGTGTTTTCAGTGTTTTACACTGTCCTCACCCCCATGCTCAACCCACTCATCTACAGCCTGAGAAACAAAGAGGTGAAAGAAGCCCTCAGAAGAGCCCTTAGTAAAATATATGGTTTCACAAGATTTCCGTTCATAACATTTAATGAGATGGATATTAACCAGCCTCTTTAACTAACTCACTGTAGCAGGTTCTGGAAGACTAACCCGTCTGGCTAATTTCAAGGGGAAAATGGGGACTGAAAGAATCTGTGAAATTAGGTTGAGATTTTCAAAGGAGCCCTTGTGTGTTCAAAATATTGCACTGTATTCTTGGACTGCCAACAAACCTTTGGAAAGCCACTTGGTGCGGGGTTTTCAAACTGCTTTAAGGGATTAAACACAACAATTTCATTGAATATTAATGTGCATAGAATCCATGAATCCCTTGAAAATCCTACCCTAAAATACTGACAGGTGTTTAAGACTTCTATCTGTTGCCATATTTTGTGTGCAAGTGAGCAGAGGATTTTATATGCTTGATATACTGGGGGTTTTTTGTTTTGTTTTGTTGTGTTTTTATTTACTCCTAACAGGGCATGTCTAAATGTGCTTTTACACGTGCCTAAATTTAATGTGCGTTTGCCTGATGCTCATTAAGGCAATTTAGGCAGGCATCTACACATGCATGCACTAAGGCGCATTAATGCGGTGTGTGGACCCACTTGGGACTAAAGTTAGTACAAAATTAGTCAACATACACAGTGTTAGTGCACCTTAGTGCGTCTACATGTGTGTTAAGGCAGTTTACATACAAAAAACTAGAACTCTTGGTTCCAAAATGATACCTTATATTAGACCAACTGGGAAAGCTCAAGAAAATTGTCCTTTTTTGCAAGCTTTCGGGATCAAAGTCTCTTTCTTAGGCTCTGGGAAAAAGTATAGATGGTACAAGATGGTAAAAAGCCCCCATAGGTAGGAAATAAACTTCATTTTTGCACAGGGAGGGCTGAAGAAGGAAGGCTGTCCCTCTGGGTCCATGAGAGTGTCTTTGTGAGCTGTGCTCAGTAGCTCTTTGATGTGTAGATCAGGTAGAATTCCTTCCCTGGAGGTGTCAGATGGCAGGCAGGGGGCTAAAAAATATTTCTTGTTGTTCTGCAATGAAGTTTAAAATCCAAAATCAGCTAAAATTTGGCATCTTCCACGTTTCAGGGGTGTACTTGGTAGCCATGTTGGTCTGAGACAAGAAGACTAGAACTCTTGTTTCCAAAATGATACTTTTTATTAGACCAACTGGGAAATCTCAGACCAACATGGCAGAAAGGCTGCAGACAGAAGCTCATGTGCTGTTTATACGTCCCTTCTCCAGAGCACTGAGATTGGAAGGGGACCAAGGGAGAGAGCATAGTCACTGGCCACTGGCCAGCTACAGATGTCAGTTTTCCCCCGCCCTGCTCCCCGTTCATCTTCTCAGTTTCTGTTCGCCTGAAAGACTGCCTTCTGAAACTCCAGTCTTTTTCTGAATCTGTTCCAAATTGATTTGGAGGTCTTTTTTGGCCTACTGATTTGATTTAGATTCAGTAATTCGGCTTCCGAATAGGGCCAAATATTCTCTGAATAGAATTGGCAACCGGAGCTTCGCACACCCCCAGTTTATATCATGATTTCTTAGATGATGATGATGATGTTGATGGTGATGGTAACCTACGTGAAATATGTTTCATTTTTGTTATTCTTCATTTTACATATTTTGAGGCATTAAGAGACCTTTATGGTCATCGTATCTGACCGTCTCCTTAACACAGACCAGAGAACTGTGGGCAGTGACAGAGGTGCAGTTCCTTTCTTTAACTCATGGCACTTTTCAAGAAGCTCCGTGAGTTACAGCATTCCCATCCACTCAAACAGACTTTGACTGTTGGGTCCAAGGGATCGAGCTCCAGTTTGGAGTAGCTGCATGTCTGCAGCCACTCTCCCCTAGCCCTGCACCTCTACCTTCCCAGCTCAGGTGCTGTCTTCAGAATGGGTGAGCTGAAAGCCCAGTCTAGGGCTCACCCAGTCTTTCTATTCTTTGATGCCTTAATGGACCCTTGATGATTTTATGATTAGGATTACTTGTGACACATGCAAGACCATTTTGCATGTAATTTTGAAGATCCCTGCTCATCCAAGTCCACCAGCCTGCTGCTTCTACAGGACTGATAGCTATATCAGTGAGCAGGTATCTCCCTCCATGTGCAAAGGCTAAATCAATTTGTACAATGCATGAGGCTACCCATACAGGAGCATTTTCTCCTTTTCTGGTGAGAACTAGGCCAGATGATTCCTGCCATATATGCCATTGACCACAATTTCCTTTTTGACCCTATTTGGCAATACTTCAAGCTTGATTTTGCAAGCCATTCAGACCAAGAGAATCAAGCTGGTGGCATCTACTTTGTCACAGGGAAAACCTTTTCTAGTCCTGGAATTTGCCATTTGGGTCCAGTGTTGGGCCCTTTCTTTGCAGCTTCATCATGTTGGTTATTAAAAATTGACTCAGACAATGTTTCCTGGCTGTGTGCCTTTACTTTTCCTATTTTTACCAGGTGATTCTTCTGTTGTGCCGATGTCCATGTATATCTCAGTTTGTTGAAATGGATGACAGACTTTGCATAAGATGTCTTATACTTTCATCTTCTCCATACTGGGAGCCAATCTGTAAGAGTCCGTATCACCCAGTTGCTGTTGGAGAAAATGGATAAATTGTAAATGCAAGGAATTTGTTAGGATAAACCAAGGAGAAAGCCCATGTGGCATGCTACAGAGAAATGCAACTGAATGCATAGTCCTTCCCAGTCTGTCCTGGCAAAATTTTCATGCTGACTCCAAATCTGCCGATCAGTTTGATACTGGATATGTGAGCAAGACCTGATGGGTTTCTAAATACAAGTAAGAGCATCATCACACACTGGACAAAATCATATTGGGAAGGGACCCCAGGAGATCATCTTTTCCAACCCCTTATCCAGAGAAGAATCATCCCTATCTAAAACAAGTATTTCTCTAATATTCATTTCAAAGCTTCAGGAAAAACCTTAAAACACAACTACTGATAGTTACTGGTATAATATGCAAAACATCAAACACAACATTTAATTGGCTAGAAATAAAGCAGAGGGATGAGGGCAATGCCAATGCCCCACAGTTTCCTTCCAGTAGATAGGAAGTAGTTTGTTAAAATACTCCCAAGAGATCCACAGAAGAGGACCATGACCCCTTTTAGAGAAGGTGGCACAGTCTATGCAAATGTGACCACAAGGTAAAACTGCTTCCTGAGCCTATTACTAACCTCCCAAGCCCTTTATCACTTGTGTCACATCTGGGCCTTCTCTAATTTCTCCACATCTTAACATATCTAGAAGCAGTGGTTTCTTAGGGTAATACCTTCTATTGGACCAAATACACAGTTGGGATAGACCTAAACAAGCTTTTGAATGCAAGGCATTCTTCTTCTTATTATTATTATTATTTCTCTAACATGCTTCTAAAAGCTTTAGGGATAATCCTAACACACAGCTACCAGGCATAATTCCCAAAATTTCAAAAATGCCATTTAATTTCCTACAAGTAAATCTACAAAACAGTAAATTTGCATGAAGGAAATGGAAATGCCATCTAATTTCCTACAAGTAAATTTACAAAAAATTATATTTGCATGAAGGAAATGGAAATGCCTTGACAATGTTTCAGAAAACCTGAAAAAAAAGAGTGTTTGGCATTTGTAAGCTTCTCAAAATCTATTTTAACTGTGCAGTTGGTTCAATAAATGGTATCACCCTAAGAAATAATTTCTTTTTGTATAATTCATAGATTCATAGACTGGAAGACCAGAAGGGACCTTGGATGGTCATTGGGTCCACCCCCTGCACCAAGCAGGAAAGATAACAGGGGGTCAGGTGACCCCAGCAAGGTGCCTGGCTAGTTTCCTCTTGAAGATTTCCAGGGTAGGCGATTGCACCACCTCTGGAGGTAGCTTATTCCACAGCCTGGACACCCTGACTGTGAAGAAGCTTTTTGTAATGTTGAGCCTGAATCAGTCTTCCAGGATTTTGTGGCCATTACTCCTGGTTTTCCCCCGCGGGTGTCCTGGTGAATAGTTGTTCACTGAGCTCTTGATGTACTTCCCTAACATAGTGGTAAGCTGCTACCAGGTCCCTATCCCTGCTCAAAATAGATGGCCATGGCCTCCTGTTTGATTCCCCTGACTGTTATCATTGGGTGTGTCTACATTTGTGCCTGACTGTGTAGTTGTTACTGCACAGTCACTTAGTACTTGCTTTAACAAATACTAAATGACTGTATAGTAACTGCTAGTACTACACAGTCCCAATGCCACAAGGATAATTTCTGAACCTTTTGTGCAGTAGCTTGTTGCTACTTGCAGTAGTTTGTTGCTACTGTGCAGTAGCAGCGGCATCATGGCTTGTGCCTGCAGATGCTACACTGCCATAGCGACGAACTACATTGCTGTAGCTTGTCACTATGGTGACACAGCATCTTGTATAGACATGACCATTATCTGGGTGTGCCAACTGAAGTCACTCCTACTGGTAAGGAAACTATTCTGCCTGTAATACCCAACCATCTCCCACAGGTGGTAGCCAGAAGGAAATAGGCCAGCAACATCTTGAAAAGGTCAAAGTTGGATAACTCTTGGGTAACAGCCATGGTACAAGAGCCCTCCACCTGCTGTGAAATAGTTCCCAAGTGTATATTGGAACTGTATCCTATAAGGGCCCAGCTGATAGAACAATACTTTCCTGGGTTTGTGTGCATCACTACATGAACAGCTGGACTAGATATGCTGGTTTCCTGAGAAACAGCCAGAGTATAGTCATTCTATTAAACTTAGTGCTTGAAGCAAAAATTGCAGAAGAATGAGAACTTCATCAGGGAGATGATAATGAATATCTGGAGGACACTAATGTTGGATAACTTCCCACATCATTTATCAGTGAAATGCATAATGAGTCATTACATCCCACAACACAACTGAAAAAAGAGCCCTATATGTTGGAGGGTTATGATGTAGGAAGCCAAAGAATCGGTCCAACAAGAGAACTGCTTGTACTGAAGCAATAGGAAAATCCCATCTGAGTAAAGACACGAGTGAGATCTTGAAGATAGCAGAGCACCTCCTGGAGCATCCCATATACCTTGTGAATTGCAAGCCCAGTGGGAGATCAGCTGACAGTGAACTGGAAGGTCACTGGACGTTGCCAGTTTCCTAAATTACTTATAACTACTTGCTTTTCCATGTTCAAAAGTGCTCACATACTGGTGGTGTTCCTCAATTCTGCACACATCTTAAGCAATACAAGTCTTACATGGCTATGAGTTACTGGCACAAGATGGGAACAGAATGTAGCCAACAGTTTATCCACTACATGCCAGGTTCCTGCTCTGCAATGAAAGCATTTAGCCGTCCTCAAAGTGACATTCAAAACCAGGTTGAAATACAGCATGGTGTTCATAGGAAAAGCAATTAATAACATTCCCAGCCACTTATTCTATACTGTCACAAATGCGTTATGTCACATTATTAGCACCATCAAATAAGTTTCCCTCTGAGATTCAAAGTGTTTTTCTCCCAATTAGTTGTCTTCTGTGGTTTGAGCTATGTGTGTGTGTTTTTCTTTAACACTTTAGATATTTTGCTTTTTAGGGGGCAAGGGGAGGCACTCCATTGAGAATAGCACTATGCAGTTTAGCAGTTTCATCATTTTAACACAATTGTTTGTTCCATGGAGAAAATAAATACACCGGCCACTGTCACTTCCCAGCCATTTCATGGACTCATCAGCAGAAGTATTAAAGAGTACTGCTTGTATAAAGAGTAGCTGGTGGATTAGGAAACGCATAAATACATAGTTAGCAATACTGATACTGGATACTAGATACAAGGAAAGAAGCTATAAGTCTGGAAGTCAAGCCATATATATATATATGTATTGAACTCCTCTCATAGAGATGCAAGGTCCATGTCAGAATCAGGGTTAGAACACAGTCTGCGGGGTCATGTCCAGCTGCATGTGATGCTGAATTGAGAGGAGATGGCTGCAATTCAAGCTTTGAGTGTACCAACCGTAGAAGTAAGTACTGCTTTGTCATCATTTAAAGTGAATTCACCATTTATTAGTAGCACTGAGGTGATGTTCCTGCTGTGGTGGAGTAGTGACTAGTACCTGATGATATTGGATTAGGAATTTATATGTCTGAAAGGTTGTACATACTTCCTAGAGATAATGGGAATAGGGTTGATGACTGAGCTGTCAAACAGAGGTACCTGTGGAGGAGGAAGTTTTATGCATCCCTAAGAACTGAATAAAGGAATGTACATAGTCAGATAAAAGTTGGCACTAAAGAGATGCTATAGAAGTAATGTTTTTTTTATCTAGCGGTCCTTGGGTACTTGGTGATTTAATCCCTCAGTTGACAGCAGCTGGATAGAGCGGACTGAGAAGTTTTTGATGAAAAAACTGACAAAAGGGCCTAAAGAAAAATTTGCCTATTTAAGGCAAAGTGCAGGGTCAGGTCATATCTAGTTGTTAATTTTTTTCTTTTCATATTTCTTATCTTTTTATATTTCCACCTCAATAAACAGACACTTAATTTTTTTTTCTTACTTATATAAAAAATCTTGGGGTTTTTTTATTTTTATTTTTTTTACCGTGTCACGGCGGGGTCCGTCAGGAGGGCCGCGATCTCCTTACGACCCCCTCACCGTGCCAAGTCGGCCTAAGGGAACCCTCAAATTCTCGCCCGCCACGTCTTTGATGTTTATGTATAGTTGGGAGGCTGCCTACGACTCCCTGCTGGGCACGGATAGCTGGGACCTCTGTCCCCGTGTGTTCCCGGACCCCCTGGGGGTCTCCCGGTATGATGGGTGCTCCCCAGGCACCCTAGCCTTATGGGCTATGCGTGGCTCCTACCAGCCCCTAATACCACGCCCCAAGCCTCGCTGATGGGATAGACGTTGGTCTGTCACGATACATGCCCGTTCTCCCGGGCCTCCTCTGTAGTCGAGCCCACTCTGGGCTCTCCCCAATGCACAGCCCCTCACTGGGACTCTCGTCGAGCCCACTCTGGGCCTTCTCTAAAAGTGTTGTCCCGCTCAGGGACCCTCTGGCGGGTCTACGGTCCTTTAGGCCAACCGCACGGCTACCCTCTCTGATCCCGGCTCACCGCACTGCTATCCCCTTTTGCCGGGGACCACCGCAGCACCTTGCCTCTGTCTGAGGGGTGTTGCCGCACTAGCCTACGGCCGGGCTCACTACGCCCGTCTCGGGCTTCTCAATAGTCCCCCTTTTCTGGGACCTTGCATGCCCGCGCTGGGCTTCTCAATAATATCGCCCCCTCTGGGGCTCACTGTGCCCCCGCTGGGCTTCCTAATATGGCCCCCTCTCTCTGGGGCTTGCTGTGCCCCTACTGGGCTTCCTAATAATGTGGCCCCCTCTCTGGGGTTCATCATGCCCACGCTGGGGTGTCTCAAATCTGCCCCTCTCTGGGGCTGGGGTCTACATACCCCACACACAACCCGGGGTCTATGTTCCCCGCCTGCAACCCACTGGTTGCGCTCCACGCCGCAAGCTGCGCCTTCACTGGCACCAGGGTTCCCCCTGAGAAACCTGCGCCCTCACTGGCGCCAGGGTCCCACCCTCTGTAGGTCCCTATGAGAACACTGCGCCCTCCTCAGGCGCTGGGGCCCCCCCACTCCCATGGGGGTTCCCATGGGGGCCCCTTTATGAGGCCTCCTCCAACCCCTATAGCCTCACCCAAACCACCGGTGTAACATCAAAGCCTGAACATAAACTTGAGCCTCCTGGCTATAACTCAAAGATAAGGCACTGGGCCATACCAATATAAGCCTCCTGGCTGTAACCCAATATCATTGCTCCCACCTCTGGAGCTCTCGCAAGCTATAATTGCTGTTAGGCTTGTCCTCCCACCCTAACTGCAGAAGCTCCTGCCCCTCTGGCTGCTGGCAGGGAACCACCAGCCTGGCCTCAGCCCTGGGCTTTATAAGGGCCAGGCCCTGCCTCCTACAGGCAGCTGGCTCTCCTTAGTTGCCCTGGCAACCCGCAGCTGTGGTTATGTTCTGCCAGGGCTCGCTCTCCCTGGCAGTTTCTACTCCCCAGGAGCAGGCACTGAGGTGCCCTGCGACATACTGATTATTATATCTTACTGATTGTCTGTTGTGGCAGTTCCAGGCTCTTCTTTCCTATGAAGGTGAGGACCACATCAGTGTAACACAAACTAGACAAGACCTTGATGCTGTAAGCTGTCAAAATCTTCTCTGCTGAAGCTGGCAAGGGACGGATGAAATGGGTAGAGCTGAGGGAGATGGGAATAACAAGATTTCTCTTAAATAAAATTCAGCTTGTTCTCAGTGGTCAAGCAGCAGGTGGTGGGGAGAGGTTCAGGACTAAAGGACACCCTTGAATGTGACACTAGAAGCTAACCCAGATTTCCTAAACATTATAAGTCCCACACAGCACCTAGGAAGTGCGGTGTCCCTAGCCTTTGTGCAGTACCCCAGATCTAGGTCATGAAAACAGAAAACCTTAGGATCTGCAAACAGCCAAACAGGGAACCAGGCTGGTTTCTATATGGAAAAAAAAATGCCTGATAGACAAGGACAAAGTGATGTTTATTGGATCCCAGGAATTTCCACCAACTATTTTATGTTTTACGAAGCCACATTTTCTGAGACTACTTCTTTGTGAGTCTAAGCTCACTTCATCAGATGTCATGTGCTCAGCATTTGACAAAGTGATCTCTGACTCAGAAAAGACTACACTATACATCTCTGCCTTAGTTAATCTATAAGGTTCAAATCCACCCTAGCTCTTCCTGAGTTCAGATTAACATAGCTAACCAAATTTCTCTGATTATAAGACAAATTAATTATTCAAAGCAAAGAATCGGCAGTACATTTAAGCCAAAGGACAGTACATGATAACAGACCATTGATCTGTGATGCTGGACATGCAGGTCTCAGAATACAAAAGTTGCACTATGACATGAAACACTTTGTTTGGTTCATCAAGCTTGTTTGGTTTCTTAACTAAATGCAGTCTTATTTTGGGTGGGGAGGAGAAGAATTACACTGGGTATAATTAAAACAAGGCTTTGAATACATAAAGATTACCCACAGCTTTGATGGGTTGCAACGAGGAATTCGTAAAAATAAAATTAAATAAAATTTCAGGGACTCAGTTTAACTATTAAAAGCTCTTAATTGATGAGAAATTACCATTCACTCATTAGCTTTTGTAACCTGAACTCAGTGGATTGTCTTGCTCTTCACATAAAAACAGTAGCTTAGTTCCCAACACTATAGGACAGCTTTAATTAGAGACCTTACTGATGGAAATGCCACCATTTATATAGCTCGGTGATGTGCTGCTCAAATGCAGTGATTATATAAACTATGTCAGGATCCATAAATGTGTAGCTTTCTGTTTTCAGGCAGCTGCATGTGAGTGCAGTGTGCGTCTACACACGCTACCTCCTCTACCTCTAGGTAACTGGCTCTGAACGACCGTACTGTGAAATAAAAAATATTGTGGATAGGTGCCATGACTCTAAAGGGTTACAAACTACTGCACTAGGTCTTAGCTCTTTCTAGAGTTCCCATTTCAGATGCTCCCGATATTGGGCCTAGACTAGGCTCGTCTTCATGCAGTTTGAGGCAGACAGTGGAATTTATCATTTGATATGAATGATGATTTATTACATTCTTATTAATAATTTATGTTGAGTACTCTGCTGTGCATTAGAGCACATCAAAGGAGACATGAGCACCATATTATTAATATGGAGTATACAGATGACAAAGGAACTATATACCGTAGGAGAGCCCCTTAGTTATCCAATTCCTTTGGTACCATCAAGCTTAGAACATGGGACAATATTCACATCTTCTGTCTCAGGATACATATATTATTGAATCACTTGGAAAACCTTTGTTAAAGTTATTCAAACTTATTCCTGGCCTTATTCCCTAATTTCTATTGTGCATTGGCAGTTAAAAAAAATCAATAATAATTTCCTCTTTAGTGAAAGTACAGCAAAAATTTGGCATGAGCTTCTGATGCAACAGCTCAGCAATTGGCATCTGTCTGGAGAGGTTTTAGATGGAAAACAAAACAAAAAGAAAAGAGGGGGTAAATTTAGCTGCAAAAAAACAGGGCACTTTAGCTGCAAAATCTTGGGGATAATTCTTTTATTGCATTCATCCCCAGCTTTACTGCACTCTGGGGGTTTCTGGTTACAAGTTGAACGCGGACAATGAAATAAAAGATGAGGTACTTGAAATCTTTCCTCCAGATTCATGTTGCCTTTCTGAAACATTTTGATTATATGGATTGTGGTGTGTTTATAGAACTAATCCCAGGTTGCTACTTCGATAAAATCTTCCCACTTCATAATCTTTTTTCTGGTTTTGTGTTCTGTCTCCAAGGTGCACCCAGGAGTGAGCACAGAATGGGGAAACCAAACAGCAGTCAGGGAATTCGTCCTCCTGGGATTCAGGAACATCTCAGAAATACAAGTTCTTCTTTTCCCAGTGTTTCTAGCAATCTACATTCTGACCATGGTTGGGAACATCCTCATCCTTGTATTGATTGTAGTTGATCACCATCTTCATACCCCCATGTACTTTTTCCTGGGGAATTTATCCTGCTTGGAGACCTGCTACACTTCATCCATTCTGCCCAGGATGTTGGCAAGCTTTGTGACTGGAGATGAAACCATTTCATTCAGTGGATGCTTCACACAGTATTTTTTCTTTGGTTTATTGTCAGGTACAGAATGCTATCTCCTAGCAGCAATGTCTTATGACCGGTATTTGGCAATATGCAAACCACTGCATTATGCATCTCTTATGAATGGACGATTCTGCTTACAGCTAGCAGCCATGTCCTGGACAAGTAGTTTTCTGGCTATTAGTATAACAATACTTTTAATGCTAAACTTAACTTTTTGTGGCCCTAATGAAATGGACCATTTCTTTTGTGATTTTATCCCAATCGTAAAACTCTCCTGCAGCGACACATTCATGCTGGAAGTTGTAGCTGCCATTCTGCTTCCTTTATGGACTTTTCCACCATTTTTATTAACAATGACATCTTACATCTGTATCATCGCAACCATCCTGAAAATCAGTTCTACCACCAAGAGGCAAAAGGCTTTTTCCACCTGCTCCTCCCACCTCACTGTAGTGACAATATTTTATGGGACCGTATTTATTGTGTATATGGTACCAAAAAAGGACACCCTGAGAGACTTGGATAAAGCATTCTCTTTCTTTTACACTGTCCTCACTCCCCTAATTAACCCCTTCATATACAGCTTGAGAAACAAAGAGGTAAAAGAGGCCCTGACAAAAGTTGTTGCTAAATTCTGTGTTGTCAAAGAAACTCAGACTTCCCTATGTTCATGTTTTCAGTGCAAATGAAATAGAAATAAAAATTGGGTTGCTTCAAGACATCTGCTTTACTACACCATTAGGCATTTTGTTTCTATGTGAATTCAGTGGCCACCTAGATTCTCTACCAAAACAGCGCTGATACTTGTGTTGTGTGAGGTTATGAATTCGTCTTCAGGATATTTTAAGAGTTCTTCTTAAGGATCACAGAATCATTGAAAAGTATGTCTTGAATAGATCTCAGGAGTTCATCCTTTTCAGCCCCCGATCCAGGGAAGAATGATCCCTATCTAAACCATCCTATACGAGTGTTTCTTTGACCTGCTTTTCAAAGGATGCAGAAAAGGTTGAAGTGCTGAACGACTGTTTTGCCTCCATCTTCACAGGAAAGGTCAGCTCCCAGACTACTGCACTGGGCAGGATAGTTTGGGGAGGAGGTGAGCAGACAACAGTGGCAAAAGAGGTTAGAGACTATTTTGAAAAGCTGGACATATACAAGTTCATGGAGCAAGATAAGATGCACCCAAGGGTGCTGAGGAGTTGGCTGATGTGATTGCAGAGCCATTGACCCTCCTCTTTAAAAACTCATATCAATCAGGAGAGATCCCCAATGACTGGAAAAGGGCAAACATAGTGCCCATATTTAAGAAAGGGAAAAAGGAGGGTCTTAGCAACTACATACCAGTCAGCCTCAGCTCAGGCCCTAGCAAAATCATAGAGCAGATCCTCAAGAAATCCATTTCTAAGCACTTGAAGGAGAAGGAGGTAATGAGGAACAGTCAGCAGAGATTCACCGGGGGCAAGTCATACCTGACCAACCTGACTGCCTTCTATGATGTGATGACTGGCTCTGACCAGTGGACACGGTGTACCTTGATTTTAGCAAGGCTTTGGATATTGTCTTCCACAACATTCTCACAGGCAAGCTAAGGAAGTATGGGCTTGGCTGAATGGACTCTAAGGTGTTCATAAAACTGGCTGGAGCATCAGGCTCGGGGGGTAGTAATCAATGGCTTGATGTCTACCTGGCTGCAGGTATCAAGTGGAGAGGCCCAGGGGTTGGTCCTGGTGCCAGTTTTGTTCAAGGTCTTCATCAACGACTTGGAAGATGGCATAGCGTGCACCCTCTGGAAATTTGCAGATAACATCAAGCTGGGGGGTAGTAGTAGATACACTGGATGGTAGGGCTAGGATTTAGCATGATCTAGATAAATTGGAGGATTGCCTGGCTGCAGGTATCAAGTGGAGAGGCCCAGGGGTTGGTCCTGGTGCCAGTTTTGTTCAAGGTCTTCATCAACGACTTGGAAGATGGCATAGCGTGCACCCTCTGGAAATTTGCAGATAACATCAAGCTGGGGGGTAGTAGTAGATACACTGGATGGTAGGGCTAGGATTTAGCATGATCTAGATAAATTGGAGGATTGGTCCAAAAGCAATCTTATGAGGTGCAATAAGGAAAAGTGCAAAGTCCAGCACCAGTACAGGCTGGGGGCTAACTGACTGGGCAGAAGCTCTGCAGAAAAGGGCCAGGAGGTTACACTGGACGATAAGCTGAATATGAGCCAACAGTGTGCCCTTGTTGCCAAGAAGGCTAATGGCATATGGCATACTCATCTGCATCAGTAGGCTTTCTAGCCAGAGTATAGTCTGGC